CACACAAAACTAATCATTTTTCACTTAAGGTTTTACTAAAATAATTAGATCATAAATGTATGCTGGATCAGTGATACTATTCACTTATTCAAACTGAAGTAGACGGGGTTCGAGGTTTGGAGATTATAACTTAATGTCTAAAAGTTGAATGCCTTAACCATTTAGATATCACTCTATTAAACATTACTACCCTTAATTTATTAAAAATTTTTTTAAATCATTGATAATCAAACATCGAAAGAACTTCAATTGCAATAAAAACTGTTTCGGTTTTATTCTTTAATATTTCTTTCATAAAAAGGAAAATATAATATTCCTTATCCAATCTACATTTAAAAAAATAATTCTTATTTTTTGTCACTATTGACTTAAACTAATTTTGTCTGTTTTATTATTTATAGAAGTAGTGATGGAGGAAAATGAAGAGCATTAACAAACCTTTTTTATTCTAAAATGCTACTGATTTGATAGTTTGTATTTCCTCAACAAAAAAACAAAAAAATAGATTCCGGCTCGGTGGTCTAGTGGTTAAGCGCTCGTACGCGAGACTGATAGATCCTGGGTTCGAATCTCACGAGGCGAGGTCGTGGATGCACACCACCCAGAAGTTCCACAACAGAACGAAATGACCGTCCAGTGCTTCTAGGTTTTCCGTGGTTGTCTAGTTTCAATTGGCTCATGGTCTCAACTATTGAAAATAAATAAACACAATTCAATTGGTTTTTACATGGTGTTTACGGATAATAATTATTTTATTTTATTTTTAAACACTACATCTGGAAATCAGATGTGTATTCTTTTTACTGGTATTATTTATACGGTTGGGTTTTAGAAATGTTTTATCTTTTAAATGTTTCTATGATTTAAAGTATTTTAAGTTTTATGATGAACTATTTTTCAAATGACGATAAAGGAATTCAACATGGTTTTACGAAGATTCTCTTTACAACACAGTCATTTATTCAGGTTATGCAATCGTTTTATTTTATCATGAGTTAACAAATAAAAATAGTCTATTGAAAATGTAGAAAGAGGATTATATAGTGAAGAGTTTGAAAATTCCAAATTTTAAAATCTGATTGTATGATGAATGTCAAGTTAACGAAAAATGTAATACGAAGAAATTAAGTAAATTCACTTGGTGTTGTTTTACTTGTATCTTCCCATTGTTATTTAGGACTGCAACTGATCAGTCTCATGTTGGCGTATGTGCATCCTGTGCGGATTGCCTCGATATAGCCTTAAATCACAAGCATTTTAAGCAAAGATGGATAGTGGCGCGTTTCTTGTGAATAATTGTTCTTTTGATGAATTTAAGAAAAGTGAAGAATAAATTAAGAAGTTAAATGTGATGATGACAACAACAAATAACCAAAAATTGAAAACAATAGAACAAGGTATTAACGAATAATTTGCCAAGTGTGCAAAAGCAAAAATATTGGAGGTATGGTAGAATGAGTGCTTGGGCGTGTTGTTTTGGCATAAGGTTTAGATATGAGACTATGAATTGCTAATCTTGCTGTAGTTCACAAGTTATTGCTTTATTGTTTGACTGTGAGGATGATTTTGAAGGATATTTTGGTAGAGGCAGTATGGCCAGAATAAATGAGATGCTCCAATATTGAGCTATTTGATTATTTTACAATTGTCCTTAAATAAACTAATCAGGGTAACACTTAGCGATACATTTAGGGAGCACTCACTTTGTGCGACCAATGCCTTGTTATTTTGTTCCGCGCAGCATATCACATTTTCAAGTGTGTGGATACATGTTTGTACTTGTTTAAAGATAAGAGGTGGTGATGTAAAAAACAATTTTTTAACTCGTTTGATTAATTTATGTTTTCCAATAGTTAAATCACACTAGTTAATTTTATTGTATTTTATGGTACTGTTCGAGTCTTCGATGTGAACATTAATCATAATGAGTAAACACTGAGATGATCAGTCGGTTGTTCTGTATACTATTTTTATTGTAATAACGCATTACTATCTATATGATATTAATTTAGATGGGTTTAAGAATTTCAGAAAGCATCAATTTCCTCGAACCCCAAGACAAATCATAGTTAATAACATCTATCAAATAGATGGTTTCCCGTCCACTCAATTTCTTTAACTATCAGAGAACAACAATTATGATGCATATTTTAATTGATTTTTAGAGAACTATGAGAACTTTTGAAAATCACAGAAATACGAAAAGTTGTATTGTATGAAGTAGTCGTAGTGTGAAACAGTAATCAAATTCTACTTATAATCTCAAAAGATTTCTTGTATAGAGTAGATAGAAATGGATATGAGAAACTAGTCAACAAATTTAAACAATCAATTCTAAACTAACTTGGCTAATTAGTTATATCAAGATTATTCAATTCTCAATATTCAACCTTAAGTTTGTCAATAATGTTAAATAATATAAATGAAATACTGTAAGTCGTTTGTAAAGATTATTGAATTTTATGGGGTAAATCACAAACCTCTGTTGAGTTAACCATTGAAAACTAGGAAGCATCCAGTGAAACAGCTGTCCACAACTTTCTACTTTTCAATGGTTATTTAACTAAGGTCAATCCATAATAGTCTATGAGTGAAATAACTGAATTAAATAGATTGATTTCTTACTCATTTATTCCTTTTACCTCCATCCACTATATACTACAAGTTATAGTAGGAACATTGTTCATTGATTTTTATGTGTTTATTTGGAAATATTCTGGGAAGGGGAGGGACTATCGAGAAGAATTACACTGAGATTGGGAACAAATATTTTTTGTAGACATGTTTATGACCTAAAAGTTTCCTCCAGTTCTCATTTGTCGTCATCATTTCCTTTGTATCATTTAACATTAAGGTAGACGATGTCTACAACAAAATTTTCGCAGATATTTACTTTCATATTGGCATGCTGTAGATTAATGTAATTGATAAGGCTGAATAAAATATCTATCTGAATGTTTTTTCATGTTACAGGAAGTTTCTGTGTGTTCGTATATTTTGATTGGAACTAGCGACAATTATGTGCGTATGTTTTTCTGTGTTGATAATGTCGACAACAGTTGAACACATACACACCGATTCATATGTACAACTGGGAGTATGACTTTGACAAATTCGACTTTTACTGTTTTTCAGGTCAAATAAGTTTATGTATAATTTATGTAGAAATTTAATTTTTGACAGTTTACAACTGTAAAATGGAGATGGTTTAGTTTCTGGGTTTATTTTTACTAAGATTTATTAATTTTATTTCTTATTTGTGTTTATGTAGACGCCCTCGCTTAACTGTGACATTGTTAATTACTGTTTAAGTAGTTTAGAAATATACATTTATACATTTTACACTGATTGAAAGTGCTACAAATAATGAAATTAGTTGGACTACGTTTAAGTATTCTTTTTCGTTGAAATTATGAGTGCATAAATGATAGGCCACCATTGAAAACCTGAAAGCATTTAGCAACCATTTCGTCCTAGTATGGGACGCGTCAGCAGTGCGCATCCACAATCCCTCACGCGGGACTCGAAACCAGGACTTTCAGTCTTGTGTGAGGATGCCTAACCTCTTGAGCACCAAGCCGGCATCCAACAGTGCTAATGTCTAAATCTAATCAGTCCACTATGTTGCGTGATTATCTTCCATTGTCTTCGGTGGGTAACTGCTTCATACCCAACACGGTTGAACTCCACTGGTCCCGGCTTCATTTTCAATACGTAACTGACTACAGATGTATGCAAGAAAAGCAAATAGAGCTCAGCCAAGCTATGTTCAAGTTATGTTACTGGTTAATTTTAATTGCTTAGCGACTGGCTAAATGTTAATTCATCTCTGAGTCATGACTGTTATAGTAAATGAAATGTGAGGTCAAGAAATCGACTCACGCTTTAATCACTTTAGGCGTATAAATCAATTATCCATTTTATAATATTTATAGTAAGCTAAAAATTAAATTGAAATAAAGCCAGTTAACTTGACTGTTAACTCTCATATTTTAATGCTTGTTATAAAACATAGCTTACAATTAATCGCAGTATCATACGTTTTCCCTATCTCCATTTTCTTCCTAATCGTAAACAAGTGTTTACTCAATGTCTGTATTCTTTTTTACTGGTCGCCACCCTTTTCATTTTGGTATTCTCCTGTTGTTTTTCATTATACTTTTTGTATTAAGGTGTGGTGACTTCAAACACTACATTTATTATAAGATCTTCTTTATCATATCATTTGTCGCCTTGTTCAATAGACTAATAGTTTCTAATTTTTGACACATGTACAGATTGTCTGTTTTAAGAATTGTAAATTGTTTGCAAATTCCTTGTTCGTAATATGCACATTTTCACTAAACATTTCGATCAAAATAGACCTTAAAAGACCAGATAGCGCTAGCAATCTATTTCATTTTTGTTGCGTATTTCTTCGAAAATTGAAAATGTTGACATTTTAAAAGTCAACGTAGTAATTTTCAAATCTTATAACAAACTACTTAACATTGAACCAGTAGATCGGAGTTTTTGTTATTTTTTTAAAACTTTATCACACCGAACAACCTATCAGTAATATCTACTGTTGGAACTGAGTAATTCTCTTGATTCACAATCAAATTATCCCAGAAAAATTGAGAAGTTTATTCCATTGAAGTGAATTTCTCAACATGTAGTAGGTTGCTATTCAAACAAGAGGTGTTTGTTTAGAGATAGAAAACTCATTACATAACAGTCAGTAGATAGCATTTCATGTTGATTTATTCTGTTATTTATGTCTGAACCAATCAAAAATTGCTCAGTTAATATCTATTTGATTGATCATTCAAGATTCGTTTGCGTTGAAAAATTATCAATTTAGACAGCATAAGTCATGTGGTTCATTCATACTTGAAGTATTGAGCTTTAAATTGTTCATATTACGATGTAATTGGTTTTCCTTGTTCTGACAACTGTCAATTTACTTGACTTCAAAATTACTCTTTTCTCTTGTTTTATCATGTCTCATATCAAACAAGCACAAATATATGGAGAAAAGTTAACAATAAATCCAGATATTTTTTCTCTTTCAATAAGTTGACGGTAAATGATGGATAACTCACCTCGATATTTTGTAGTATAGTGTGCTATACATTAAATAAATAGGTAATATGTATGTCTTAAGATGTATTTATTCTCTATTGTCAATATTAAAAAATTCGAATGTCCATCAATTATGTAGATATTAAAATTCAAATGAGAAGAGAGGACAACATTGACGATGGTGACCGAAAACAACGACGATATCAGTAACAACAATTGAAAAAAAACAGGACGATAAAAATTCTGTTTAATTCAATTGGGTCTCTAGTTGATTAGATAAAATTTGTTTTGTCTTGTTTTTTTGCCAATAATAAACTAAGCTTTATAAGCAAAGATGGAAGGTGACTTGTCATGGAATCCAGAACGCGCGTTTAGTCTTAATTAGGACTGGTAAAGTGGATGTTTCTACATCTCAGAGTTGGTGTTCACTCAAGGACTCGAACCCAGTACCATTCGCTTCAAACGCCATCGCGTTATCCATTGATCGATCGTAGTCCTAAACATCAATAGGAAGATTCAAACAAACAACACAAAAATGAATTGAAACTTCACTCCACTGCACAAGCTAGTGTCTTTCTGGACTCAGTGGTTATGTGGATAACGCTATAGTGTTTGAAATGAACGGTACCGGATTCGAGTTACTGAGTAAACATCAACTCTGGGATGTAGGTGTACATCCAGCTGACGAGTCCTAAGTAGGATGAAACGCGTGTCCTGGATTCCAATGCTAGCCATCATTCATCTTTGCTTATAATGCTTATGACTTAAGAGGGCTATTGAGGCAGTCCTCATAGAATGCACATATGTTAATAAGAGGCTGATCAATTGCAGTCCTAAACATCAATGGGAAGATTCAAATAAACAATGCAAGAATTCATTAGAAACGAAGCTTCTTACTATTGAATTTACATTTATCGTTTTTGCTTTGGTTAAATAAACTGCATGAACAAAATAGATATTACTATTTTACTCAATTTTCCAATCATACTAACAAGGCTAGCGTTAGTTTAATTTTTACGTTGTTTTTATAAAAACGAAATGTGACATTAAGTTTATGACTTAATAATAGTATGGAATGATTGGAGAAATAATTTTTAAGAAATTATTCAGTGCTTAGTAAATGAGTTCCATGGATTTTCCTCATTAATTATTAAGTTAAATGATAATCGTTCTTATTACTGACCTACACTATTTTTATTTATATTAATGGTGTTACTCATTGGCGACTTTCAATTTATGTGGGTCGCATCCAATCGTGTTCAACTTAGGTCAGTGGTTCAAACAGATATGAAATACAACATGTTTTTAAATATTTTGAATCTTAAATCCCTATCGAATGTGAATGATCACTTCTAATAAGTTTGATTAACGTAATTTCCTTTCGAAATTATTACAAAAGTAACTGTTAAGGGAAATGGACAGTATCGACATCTTCCAAAAACGTGCTCGAAAGAAATGAAGTCTTAATGTTTTACTGTCAGAAATGATTTTCATCAAATAACATAATATTAAAGATCAGAAGATCAACTAATTATTAGTTGTTAAGTTGATTTGCGGAACTGGTTTCAGTGTTTAGACCAATAAATGTTAATAGAAAGACTTCTGTTCACTTAACAAATTTGGTTTAAATAAAACCCAAATGATTTCCAGGTCTAGTACCATGTTTGCCTTAATCACCTATAACAAATACGGAGCTTATGGAAAGAAAAACTGGTAGCCGAATGTAGTGGCAACTTATTTGTTGATATTGTTTAAGAAAAAGTATACTACCCAAGACTTTTAAATAGATTTGAACTAAATAATGATCATTGTTTCTTCCTCTTTTTTTTCTACTTCCTCAAAAAAACGCACCTTTTATGATCATTTAGATTCAGCGTGATCAGTTCTACTTCTTCCTTTGGATACATTAATCAATCAGATTGTACAAATGAATTAAAGTGGACAGTAAAATTAAAATTTAAAAAAATCATGTTTTCACTGTTAGCTGAACTCAACCATAATTGTATCATAAAATTATCTTATACAATCTGCTTCATATATGTAATATTTTTCATCAATTACGCTGTTACATTTAGTCCTATTGTATTAAGAGATAATACACGTGAAAATGAAATTGTATCTAAAGATTTCCTATTAAATTATTATCAGTCAGGTTATAAATTGTCATTATTGCAATCATCTAAAGGACGTGAATATTTTGATATTAATGAAAATCATCAGTTGATAACATCACGTTTTATAGATCGTGATAAATTATGTCTACAGTCTAGATTATGTTGTCCACTCGAAGGATCTACAACAACAGTAACTGTGACATCAACCATTTCTTCTAATATTGGTTCGCTTGGACATACCAACTTTATGGATTATCAGTATAATTATCTTCCACATACAACATCTAGAAACAATATACATGGATTACCGACACAATCAATTTATTATCCTAATTTATGTTCTGCCAAAATACATGATACGAAAGCTCTATATAATCCAATGTGTACATTTAATTTAACTGTGTCAGTTATGATATCACCAGCTGAGGTACCAGATACACATCAGATTACAATTATTATATGTGATGAAAATGATCATGTACCACAGTTTAAAGTAAGTGAAGTTTGTTCTTTTCTGTTATATATATATATATATATATATATATATATATATATATATATATATATATATACAGGGGAGAACTTGTCTTGATCTAAGTTAAGGCCTTGACACGATAGGCTAACTGGTTTAACCTTGAGGCTGGAAATGCGTGAGTTCCAATCGTGAGACTAATGGCCCTGGGCAGAGCGATGAAAATTGTTCTATCAACTGATTGGTTGACAAGTGAGAGGGAAGACGAGTCAGCTGGAAGCCTACTTGATTTATTTCTGATTTCCACTTCATATGAGTGCAAAAATATACATAAATGTGTCGACGACTAACATAACCACAACGCAAAAACAATCAGGAAATTACAACTATGTTCAAGCTGGGCATTAGCGTAGAAAAATAGAGTACCAAAGGTTACGTTTAAATTACAATAGCTTTGGAGAAAAACGGTACAACAGTAAATCATACATCAAACGAAGGCTTATGGTTTATCGAATAAACCAGGGACAAGACTAAATGTTAATATCTTACAAGCTTTGAATTAAGTGAAATAACGTCCCCAAAAATCGTTTCGTTGTTTGTTATGGCCTCTTTATATCTCTGTTCACATCATCTTTGAAACTGTTGATCCATGTGAAGTAACCTGGGTTCTGTTATTGATATTCTCAAGTTATCTCTAGTTATGGGTTTTGTATAGTATGGTTCAAAAGCAATGACAATGACTTAACTTCATATATGTCCATCCTTTTCTCTAATTTTGAACATCAACTAGCTCCTTATCTATTTATCTCTTCCCGTGATATCTTTATCATCCATTTTCTTTGTATTTTTCCACGTTGATCTTTTTATTCAGTTATTTCGAAAAAGCTAAAGATTATGACGGTTATGGTGTTATCCTAGGTTTCATTTTTTTCTGTGTGCTTCGGAAATATTTGTTCTTTCAAAAATTATAAGGATTGCTATCATTAGACATAAAATTTACAAACAATCAGATAATGTTCGGATGGATTTTTCTTGTCATTAATTCACAGCTTTTGTCAGAAATTAAATGGTGTTAGGTGAAATTTAGGTGTTCTCAAATATTCTTCATTTTTGAATATTCTATGGGGATTTTTAAACTCCAACCATAACATCAAATTAGTTGGATTGGAGAACGATGTTTAATCATGAATTCAAATTCAGGATTTACACTGATGATCTGGTTAGAGCACTTCTCATTATTCCATATGGAATGCCTAGCAAAAGCATGACAACTGAATCTGTTTCGTAGACTATTTCATTCACTTACGAAATAATGTGTATTAGCGTAAAACGTGAAGTTTCCATTTTTCAGGTATTTGAGGCTAGTTTTTTTTTATTGTGATGGTTATTGGCCAGTGATAAGGAAAATCAAGAAAATGATTAAAATTTAAGTCTCTACTGTCTGTTGTTCAATGTCACATGATTGAAGAGAGTTCCTAGGACACGCTCAATCTAGTTCTTATACTTTTTGACAATTATCAGCAAAGGCTATCTACAATTTCAATGAAACTCTAGACCTACTAAGAAACTTTAACATAGAGTAATTAGCTTTTTTGTTGAGGGCGTTACTGGTAAGCTAATTAGACTGTGACTAACGTAAATATTAAATACTATTGAAATCCATGAATATAGATACAATTCATAACTTTTTGGAACTTGAAGTATCGGATATTTCTGGCAGTATCTTTGTATAGTTTATGTACGGTTGATCACTCAAAGTAGAGAGAAAAAACAACTCAGATTTGTAAGTTAGGTGACGACGTCACTTGTTATGTAACTTATTTTAGTTCTTGAAATCTGGTTTAAAGGGAAAAAAGAACATGTTATGGTACCTTGCTGTTGTGGCTTATGTGTTCAAGCGTTTACATGATTTAGTACTATTATTAATTGGTTGGCCTCGATCGTCTTCATAGGACTTTATTCTCTCCAATAACTTAGTGATCTTCCTTAGGCCAGTGAGAATGGGATAACGACCAAGGTCAATACTGGTCCAGAATGCAGTTTGTCACGTTCGCTTACCCGATAGATATAATAGGTGTTGAGCACAACAGGCGGGTAATTTATGTTGTACGGTTGTGTGTATAACTCAAACTCATATGACAACTGAAATCAGTTACCTGGTTGAAAAGAAGGATAAATAAGGAAATACAACGCATATGTGACTACATGATGAGTGAAGAAGAATTGTACACTAGATCCGTAATAACCTCGAAGCAACTTGGTAAAGGCATAACACAGAACTATAGTTTATGCACTAAGAATAGTTTACAAACAGAAGAATATAAAAATACAATAATCGAAGAGTTTAACACTAATTCTTCGTAGGATAGTTCGAATCGTTACAACTTTTACAATATTTACTTCGTTATAGCAAAGCGTTTCAGAATTTTGTGAAAATAAATGTTCTGCTGGTACTGTGGTGAGCACTACATATGCTCTCAGACACAAGTAGTATTTAGCAGGACCTGGAATTAAAATGCTTACCAGCAGAAAATTGAGATAAAGAGAATAGGAAGGGAAACGAAGAGGAATCGGAATAACAACAGGATTGGAATAATGATGAAGTATGTAAGCGACAACTCAATGAAGATATCCAAATGATGTATCTAATGTATGATTTTCAGATTTGACAAAGGCAATAATTGACTGATGACATTCGTTGAAGATTGTGGTATATCGTGTAGCTGTAAAGAACGAAAACAGGTGGGGACAACCAAATGTATTTTAAAACATAATTACAGAGTTAATAAAATGTGAAAACTATATGTTTAATCCTTCATTTGCAAAACGTCAATTAATTGTCTCAGATTTTATTGTTTCTTCATTTCCATACCAATTACTCTCTGTTCCGATTTTCTTCTATTCGATCTTCGGAGCCTACTGCTGTCAAAATTTTCACTTTTGATTGGTGTTACATAATACTTATGTTTTTCTGCATAAGCAGCATACACCACAGAGTGATTAAGATTTAAATGATGGGTAATTGAGTTCCAGATAAATTGTACTGAGTATCCACTAATACTTGGAGTGTGCTAAACTCAGATAGTAATAACTGCCTGAAAAATTCCTTTTCTTTTTAATGATTCTCTAATTAATATGTTTTATGACGATTGTTATGCTTTATAGTTTAAACTACGGACTGATCGTAGTTAGAGACAATCACTAAAGACAAGGAAAAACTGGATAGTTATTTCGTCCCAATTTAGAATATCAGTTTATGCAACAATCTTCAAATTTCTATGAATAATTTATCTAAAATCTTTTGATCGTATAAAAAGCCATTTGCGAACATCCTCTCTTTTGACTACTATTACTTAAAGTAACTACTGCTCTAAAAACACTTAAATACTGGAGGCTATGTATGCGTATGTTTGAATACTTGAATAGGTGTAAATGAATCATTTACATCATTGATTGATTTATGTAAAGAAAAATTGACAGACTAGAAGGGTTTATTCATAGGTTTTGTTACAAACTATTTCAAGTATATAATTAAATATACGAAGAATAATTTGTTCTTTTGTTTAGAATTTGAAAGAAATCCTAGTGTGATGCCAAGTACAATGATGTATTAAACGCACATAAACACATTTAAGTTATTTTAGTCAATTTTTAGTGTCACGTCAAATGAATCGCTGTAAAGTTAGTTATTTATCAAATTATTTCATCTATTTCTGTATAATGATTTGTCTTGCAAAGAAACTGGGAGGAGAAAAAGAAGAAGAGACGAAAAAGTCAGTGCTGCATTGTTAGTAATTGTCATACCAATCGTCGTCATGTTGTGTTTGTATTATATAAAGAATTTGTCCCATTTTCATGTTAGCGTTGACAGTATGTATGTTGGTGAATGGTGGTGAGTGGGATACACGATGGTCATTCCTTTTACGGTTTATCTGTTTATATAAATAAAACTTCACAAAAGTGAAAAAACAAACAAACAGGAAACTTTTTGTGCACAAATACTTGCACCAGTGATTATCGGGAATAATTTTTATTATTATTATTTACATGACAAGCTACTTTTAACTTGGAACTAAAAGTTACTCAGTTGTGTCTAAATATTTGAAAATAAATTTCAACAGGAAATTTATACATGTATATATGTAGATGCATCTTGGTTGGCATAGAACTTGATAGACTAAGGCTACTTTAAGTATGTATTGATTAATTTTCTGTATATACATCAAGATGTATTTTAGAAGTTATATTCATAATGCTTTTATATTCACTCCTATCGATGTTCATTTTTCCTTCCCATTCACTTGTCATTTCCCATCCATACATATAAAACTTATAATATTTCTGAATATATATATATATATATATATATATATATATATATATATATATATATATATATATATATATATATAATCGTTTGGACAGATCTGGCTACTAACTAATCAGATAGTTGGAAACAGAATTTGGTGGGAAATAATTGTAGCTTATTTTATTGATCGTGTTCATTATTGCCTTGGTTCTTCTTAGACAAATATAATATTTAGTGCGGGATTACAAGTACTTGTTATTAACACAGTTTATGATTATTAAGGTTTACTTTTTACATATGTTTGAAAGCTTTTGAGAATGCTATTGCTGAAGAGTTACAATCTTCGTCAAGCATATTAATTGTAAAATTAAACATTCTGAAGCATTGATACACCGAATAAATCAGACAAAATATGACATGTCATATTGTGTACCAAGATTGTATGGTAAATCATATACGAGTGAGTTAGTTACGTTGTGTAAATAAATTATTTGGGCATCCAGAATCATTATCCACATGTCTGCTATTGAAATGATTTCGATTGCAACAAATATGAATAAAATTGTAAATAATCGTTCGGCAAAACATGTCGGTGTGCATTTTGCTAACTTCTATGTAGTTTAGCTTGACCAAGAGTTGTGAGCTTGGTTCACTCAATCAGATTAAAATCAATGTTACGATTGATCTGTTATTGCTGTCTAGTGTTTATGACTTTCTGTAATATATTTTTAAGATTCTCATTTTTGTATAAGGCATTATAAAACATGGTCTGTGCTGCAAATCACCGTAAATGAGATCCACTTATTATTACTATTATTATTCATTTATATGCATTTTGTTTGTCTATTTCACTTAATTCGTAAAACAAATTTTAGAATCCTAATGACCACTTAAGAATGTTATCAGGACAAAAGAGTTTTCCAGGATCTTTCAATGTACAACCTATTCTTACTACAAATTTATCTGAAGCATCCCCAGTAGGAAGTCGTATAGTCTTACCATTGGCTGAAGATTTGGACTCCTCACCATTCAATGTTCAACGTTATGAGTTAGAAAATCTTGATCATTTAATTACCAGTGAGTCAGATTTACATATGTTCCAACTGAATTACACAAAAAATATTGTTACTAGTTCTGATGGACATTATCCTTCACATTCTGTTGGTCATGTATCAGATGACAGAACAGAGTCGGTTATTTCAAAACTTGAACTTGTTTTACTGAAACCTCTGAATCGTGAAGAGAAAGATGAGTATAAATTACAGATTCTTGCCATTGATGGCGGTCAACCACCACAAACTGGTACACTTTTTTTATTTATTCATGTAATAGACATAAATGACCATGCACCAGTTTTTAACCAATCAGTTTATGAAATTCATGTCAGTGAAGGAATTATAAATAAAACCATATTACAATTGAGTGCTACAGATGCAGATGTTGAAGAGAACGCTGTTATAATTTATAAATTTCCTAAAGGTTCCGAATGGATTACTTCAACATCCTCATCACTTATCAGTAATGACATAAAGAATGTAAACAAATATCCACCAGGTTATTGGTTTCATTTAGATTATTCAACTGGTAGACTTTCGATTCAGAGACCACTTGATTATGAAACAAAATCAGAACATATTTTCGAAGTTCTAGCTTATAATCCACCTTCAGTTTTATCGTCATCAAACCACAGAGTATCTTCAGATATGACAGCAACAGCTAAAATTATTGTGAAAGTAAGTAATATATTTATTACACAGAAAATATTTTTATCACATTATTCATTAAAATAGAACACCGTGATAATTGCCCCCTTTTGTAATGGAACGGCCAAGGGTGGGGAGATTCAGCTCTCCCTCTCCAAATGCTCTCACATGCCCACGCTTATACAGCCAATGCCCGGGTAGTTCTACTCACTCTCTTCTTGCGGAGGGGGTGTTGTTTACGAAATTAAAGGGACGAAAAGCGAATATCTGACGCTTTAACCAGGTTGGTGGACACGGAGGGTCCATCTAGGGTAGTTGGAAGACCCTGATTACAAACCATTGGCGCACATGGGCTTTAGTATCCTGAAGGAAAAACGGCGTATAAATCAATCGTTGGTGACCGGCTACCATGGGACTGCATCTTCTGACGATGCTCCACTGCCTTGTGGTTCAGACCTTTAGATCGAAGGCTCCCTATGCAGCCACAAGCTTGTGCAACATGTATATGTCTTTTATATTTAAAAGTTTGTATTTTCTTGTTGTTTATGTTAAAGATTATAATTGATGAACATCAGTACTAAGGTATAGGCACATCTATATTAAACAGTTCTAAATAGAACGAAAGGTCGGTCCTGCGTTCCCCTGCTAGCTCCTATCCAACTGTTATTATTTTAACCCTAAAAACAATTTTATTATTGTTTTTGAAATTCACTATTTTGGATATGCTGTAGAACATTATTACTATTAGTTATTCTTCATGACCACACTAAAATTGCTGGTCTAAATCATATCTGTATATGCAGACTTTCAATCCGGAAACTGTGCGACAATTTTAATAGATATCGAGACCTTGGATGTAATATGAATTGAGATTGGTCATGATGGCATTTGTTTCATGTACAATATGTATATCTCACACTTAATTTATCATCACAAATTGTCTTTTCGATTTCCCTACTTGTCATCTTGTTTACTTCTTTTTTTTTCTCTCAATGTGGTTATGATTTATGGCCAGTTTTACGGGTATATTTTCTTGCCAGTTCATTCGACTGACCGATAGATTCTTTGGAATCGTAAAATTTTATTCTTATATGACTAACGTGGGCATAGTGATGTATTAAATCCAAGTTTTAGATTTTTTTCTACTCATTTTTTAGGAACTTGATAAGTTTATACGTCAATGAGAATCCCAGAAATTCATTAGTTACTTCTTTAGAAAAGAACATAAATGTTATGGGGTATGGCTCCTGAAAGCTATGAGGTAACAGAAAAAATAAAATTTGGTTTGATCGATTAGCTTAATTCAGTAATCACTGCGATGCGTTTTTTGTTGCTATTTCAACTAGGGAGGTACAATCAATGCTTTTAGAAATATATAGCACTTTCGATTAGCTTTGAATGTTAAATTTGGAAACTATTATTGAACTTACGTTTGATTAATTCAAGCAATTTTCAACATTGCAGTCTTGTATTATTTACATAAATAAAAGTTGGTTGAATCATATAATAAATTTTTGACTTATAATTCCCTTCGAAGCAAGTTTAACTGTTAAAACAAGTTAAACAGAACATAACATCTTTCTGAATATGCGCACATGCATCGTGGAAACTCTTACTCTGTTTTATGATAATAGTAGGGGGCCAGTGTTGTTCTTGTTACATATTAAAACCTCATGTTTCATGACCTCATTTTTATGCGTTGGTTGATTGATAATTAACCTGAGTGCTAAGCTCATAAAAGCTCTCTAGTGTTCTTAGTATTCTCACTGTTGAGAAAGCTTTCGAGAACTATGACGGAGCCTCCAGAGGCCTTAGAAGAGCCGACGAGTTTCATCCAATCAGAACGCCATGGGGCTTTCTAGAACGTGGCATGCAACTATTGGTCAGTAGAATAACATACCTTTCTGAGAATTGGATGAATTATCATGTTCATTTAACAAACACATATATCTATAAATGCACATGATTTTCTGTACATTTTGGTTCTTGCCCAACAAGTACTTTGTACAGTCTTCTTCTTTCTTCTCATTTTGTGACTTGAGAAGGCTCTAGCGTTCGGGTGCTCAATTCATATGCGGAATATTAAGAATCTGAGCTCTAGATGTAACACTCTCTATCCAAGATTTCAACATTTCCCCAGTCGAATGTATATCCACAACTGTCTATGTGGATTGATATAAGCAAAGATTTATCATCACGTTTGACTGCTAATTGATGTTCGTGCAGGCGAAGATTGAGGGGGCGTTCACTTTGTCCGATGTTTATGTCTTGCAGATTGTCAAGTTAAAGGTCAACAATAATCAATCAAGATTGAGGTTTACAAGATGAGATGTTAGTTACCTGTGATAGAAGCTCGAATACTTCACTTCTACATTAAGTTTGTAATGATAATGTTGTCCAGAAAATTAATATAAGCTCCATAACTAAACCATTTGGCTCATAGGACGAAACTTCTTTAAAATCGTCTACCTATGCTACAAATCTTCTCAATTTTCCCAAAATAATATATATTAATGAGAAATTGAGTTTTCTAGTAATGATGAGATTTTTGATGAAGAACAAAACTCTATCAAGAAAATCACCCACCTGAAATACAAATGTTTTCCATCATCTCAATGATAAAAATTGATATCATAAATGGATCAATGTTAGACCACTATTAAAAACCTTGAAGCACTGAACGGCCGTTTCGTCCTCGTATGAGACTCCACGCCTAACCTCTGGACATTAATTCGGACTCAACAGTCTCCATAACCATATGCTGATAATGATGAAAATGTTAAGATCAGTGTGAAAACGTGTTTTTGGAAACTAATAACAAGAAAACCTCAGTTTAGATAGATTTCTTTTATACCAGCGTCATATCAAAAATGAGATATACTTTTGTAAAGCATGTACTTATATACACTGAGGATAGTTTGACAATTATCCCAGTTAACTGAAATTGATAAAATTATTTACAAAAAAAAGATTTAAAAAAATGTCATCAGATTTACCTGGTATATTAACTGGAATATATTTTACTACAATTTTCAACTACAACTGAAAATTAACATCTCATAGTTTTTTTTTCAAAGAAGAGATTATCTGGAATAGAATTTCAAAGTTCTTTTTATTTTTCGTTTTTCATTCTGATTGTTTGTCATTGTGTGTACTATTTTTTAATGAAGTCATGAGGTAGGTAGATAGGCAGATAGGTGTGGTCGGATTTTGAAGTTATCTCATTCATACTTATTTGTTTTCTCAAATTGATATTTATTTACATAGATAAGTGTCATTTAATTCTCATTTTGTTATGCAGAATTTTTTAAAACACAATTTCTGTGTATGAACATCTACTTAATTAATAGGTTGATAATGAATATGATGAACCTCCATTTATTCAAATTGATTATTCTAACGAGAAAAATGAACAATATAAACATGTTACAGAAAATTCTATGAATTTATATTTTATCGCTTTCATCATAGTCACAGATCCTGATTACAATGATAACAACAATTACCATTCACATTCTTCCTCTTCCTTGTCTAAAACTGCATCAATCTCATGTAAATTAGAGACACATAACGAATCCTACAGTTTGTTCGAATCAGATAATTATAAATTGAATAAAGCAAATGAAGTAAGATATGCTTTGCAAACAATTAAATCATTAGATCGTGAACTAGGGGATGAGAACAGAGTTGTAATTAGTTGTACAGATTCGGATACACCGCCGAAAACGTCGACTGCAACGGTTGTGGTAAGTACTTTTTATTTAAAAATAAATTACATTGTTTCACATAGAAAATATTTTCGATTCAGCTTTTCTTGTTTATATTTTTCTTGAGAATACGGTGAGGGTGCACAATTTTTATTCCTCATAGTGGTCATCAAAGACTGATATTATTTAGATAATCATTGAAAAATAAGAAACACTGGGCGTTTATTGTTCAGTAACCGACTCCTCAGCAGTGCAAATCCATTACCTAACCGATGGCTGAATACAGAACCTTTAGGTTTCATAGCAAGCGCATGACTTTAAGACCATCACGTTTGGATCTAATGTCTAGGCTCAAGTCACGATCATTTGCAACCATTGAGATTTAAATCTAACGAGAAAGCGTGACCAATGGAGCTCAGCTCTATCGGTTTTGAGTCAGTTATTTATTAAGGGCAATGAAAAGTTGTTCAACATTATCGCCAATTGATCGAAGTTAGACCTAAACATCTTTGAATACCGGGTCAAAGGTTTGAGGGTTAAGTACCCAACCCGAGACCTGGAGGTCTTCAGTTTGTCCCCCGTGGTTCGCGAATGTTCAGTACAGAAGGCCACTATACAAAAGGAAGCAGGTGTCCAGCACTTGCTTGTTTTCCATTGTCATCTAACTAAGATCGGTCCGTAGTGTCAACTGTGAAAGTTATAAAATCTTCACAAAACTCTATGTAAAAAGGAAAAAATAGCTAACAAAATCGAAGGAAATTTTTGATATGTATTACCTCGCGTGGTTTCAGTTTATAAATAACTGACTGACCAAATGTATTTTATGCAGTTCAACCTCTAAAACGTTTAAGATTTTAAACTTATATAAAGCATGAACTAAATTGGAATGGGTCTCCAGAACTGATACAGTTTCGGTGAAGGAAAATGTTTTTTAGTAAAACTTAGCTAACTGGGAGATCATCATAAATGAATTATTAGTTATTTTCTATGTAGTAGGATCATGTATTTGTGGGAGGTCCTTCTATCGTGCTTTTGTAAATACTTTCAATTTATCCAGTTATCCATTTTGAAAAAATCTCAAATAATTTAATTCCATCAAACATAAGGAGTGGTTTAATGTGGGAAAAGAGTAATAATACAGTGGTATTGTTATGCTAAGCTTATAATGTTTCTATGGAAAACAAAAGAGAGCAAAGTAAGTTCTGTGTACTTTGAGATATGCACTCTCTATGGGTAATACAAGAAATGGTATATTTAATGTAGAATAGGCCTTGTTTAGTTTGTAAGCTATACTGTACATTGAAATTGTTAGAATTTCTATACATAGAAAATAACATTTCGAAGTTTAAAGCAATTAGTCCGTTTGATAAATTTCGCTAATGTAATAAGAAGACGAATATTATAAGAACTATGTGATATATTAGCGCAATACATTTCGAACAATCTGATCACACATATACTTGTTAAGAACATTATATATATATATATATATATATATATATATATATATATATATATATATAAACATAATCCTGATAATCTTTGTCTTCTTATTACATTATCGAAGTTTAAAATGTTGTTGTTATCAACTCTTTTATTCGTCAGTTAAGAATCTTTTAGACTATTTTTAATTAGATTTCCTTATATTCTATGGTGAAGTTATGAAGGGTGAAAATCTTTTTTTTAATAAGTTTGTTGTTAATTTCTTGTAAATCAAAAGTGATAAGTTTGCTATGAAATATATATATATATATATATATATATATATATATATATATATATATATATATATATATATATATATATATATATATGCACAGGATAATCAACCTAGAATTCATCCTGTTCTTTAAAATAAGAGTTCTATTTGCTTATGAACACACGAATAACTTATGAGTTTATAAATTTACTTCATGACACTTCAGTGGATAGCTGCCCTACGCTCAAAATGGTTGAACTCCATTGGATCATTGATTCTCACTAGAACTCTGCGAATTTCCTCTTGAAGTTGGTCGCTAGTGAGCACATGATAATTGCCAATATAGAGTTGTGGAGATTGTTGAGTTTCATTAAAACCATGAACCTATCATTGTTAGATCAGCATTAATAACCTAGAAGCACGGGATGGTCATTTCGTATAGTGTGGGTCTAATATTGATCGGTTCATAATTTCAATAATTTCCACAACTCCATACAGATAATTTATTATCTTTGAATGCATAACAGAATGTGCATAAATAATTCCTGTTTAATTTGTTGCTATTATTTCTATTTGGTCTTATTATAGGTAAAAATTGATGATCAAAATGATTGCATTCCAGAAATTCATGTTTCTACAATAAGTTTGACAGCGGCCAACATTTACAAAACAGATAAATTTCAGCAACAACAACCGCAACATTACATACCAGTACAACCATGGTCAATGAAAAAGTTAACTTATTTATTAGATAATGAACAAGACAAGCACAAAGTATATAATTCACCTATATTTTTAGCATTCTTAGCTAATATTTCTGTATATACTGTATATATACCTGAAAATAGACCATCATCTACCTTAATTGCTCACTTAAATGCTATTGATAATGATTCCGGTGAAAATGGTCGTGTTACATTTGAAATGATTGAGTCATATTCATTTAATAATTTATCTTCAAAACTAAGCTACTCACCACAACTTCAACATATTCTACTAAATCAACATACTTATAATAATAATCATATGAATGATGATGTAATTGAAATACATAGTAAACAGGAAGCATTTAATTTATTTCAATTAAATACAACTCATGGTGATTTAACAACTCGTCAACTAATTGATCGTGAAGAAAATGGAATAATAACAAATGAAGTATTTGTTTTGATTAAAGCTACAGATCATGGTGTTTCACATCAATTACATTCGTTCGCTTTAATTCAAGTAATTATCGTAGATGAAAATGATAATCCTCCAAAAATTATCAGCACGGGGCCCACATTTAACATTGAAGAAAATCAGCCAACTGGTACTAAAATAGGTGGAATTGCAGTGATTGATCCTGATATATTTTCATTTGCACAACTTGATGATATTTATTATCCTGGGTTACTTGAAAAACAAGCTGATGATTATTTTGGAAAATCATCAAGTTTCTCTCAATTTCTAAAACAACAACAACAACAGCATAAAGGATTACAAGTACGTATTGATCCAGGACATGGAAGAAGAGATCTACCTTTTACATTACATGAAATCGGTAATGGACTATACTTTTTGAATACAACACGCCCATTAGATCGTGAAACAGAGGAAGCTTTTCAATTTAATATTATTGCTACAGACAATGAACCTGTTCGTACTTATCATGATATAAAAAATAATTATCCAAGTGCTAATATTATAAATAATCATCGTTATCCGGGTCATACAGCTTCATTGTCTATTATTGTCAATGTGATTGATGTGAATGATAATAGACCAGAGATTATATTTCCTAATCCAATTACATCGAATTCTACCATACATCATTTATCATATCGTGTTTACTCTGGTCATGAAATTATCAGTATTAACGCAAATGATCGTGATGCTGATCAGTTCAATGGGAAATTTCATTTTGAAATGGTACAAGATTTGAAAAGCAGTGATTTATTTACGATTGATCGAGATAATGGTATGTTGAAAACACGTCGTACATTAACAAAAGATGATCTAGGCGAATATCAAGTGCATATAATAGTACGAGATGAAGGTCAACCATCATTGGAAACACAGTTGTTATTACGTTTATTAATTGATCAGTCTGAACCACAATGGTCATCAGATATAAAAAATAATAGGAAATATCAGTTTAATGATTTTATATCATCGTCATCATCATCTAATCAAATGCTCAGTAATAATCATCATTCTATTAGAAATAATCTTGACTTATACGATAGAAGTCGACAGGAATTACACACTACCAGCAATGATTTATTGACATTGCCCTTATTTAAAAATCTTGATTCAAATGTTCTTCTCTTTATTATCATTATAGTTATTTTATTTTTTATTCTGATCATGATTGGATTATGTATTTATTTACGTCATAAATATAATTTTCTTCATTTTATCCCAGATATATATGATAATAATAAGTGTTTATGTTGCAGTACATGTCTGTTGTCTAGACGTAGTCAATCAACGTTGTCATCGAACATTGATGAAAAGCCTTATATGAAAAAATTACTTGATCATGCGACGGTTACTTCAACGACCACTACTACTAATATAACTAATATAACAGTGATGACGACAAATACAGCAACAACAACAACGTTGAAATATTTGAATCATATTGATTATGGAGTATGTACAGATTTATTAAAATATAAACAAACAAATTTCAATTTGGGCTCGTTAACACCAATTAGTCCAATATGTTGTAGCCACTCTGTTGTACCCATTTCACATAATCATCATCAACAACGACAGCGAGAACACCGTCTGATCACTAATAGTCGAAATCGTCGACATAATGAGAATCAAGATTTCTTTGTGGATTCTGATGTATCTTCAAATGTTCTCGTTGCTGATAATACTAGTAGTTTTAACAATTCCCTTTCGCCATCTCACTCAAATTATGATTTTAATGATTTTAGTCGTAAGCACACTTCATATGTTACTAATAGCAATCATAGATGTTGGCCAGTAAATCCATTGACTGTAAATATACCTAATATTGTCAATGAAACTAATGATACAATGGTTAGTTTATTATTAAGTACAAAACATGATATATATAAAACAAATTTCCGCTAATATCTGAAATATATTTTCTTTCACGTGGTTAAAGTTAATAAGTTTCCTTTTCATCAGAATAAAATGTCTTGCAAACGCAACTTATTGTTAATATGCATCAAGTAGGATCCAAAAGCAATTGTATGTGACCTGTCACTTATGTCTTATCATCTTAAGGAGTATATATGCTCGTGTTTTTTAATTGAGTGAAACACAGGACACTTTAGGATTACTCAATTTCTGATCAAGTTCTACTTATAGTCACTTACGACAATGATCCTTATTATTGGTGTTTTTAAGAGTTATCGAGGGAGATAGCATTAATGCTTATGTTTCCTCCTGGATGTGAATTTCTAAAGAGACCGAGAACTGAATAAAAACAGGTAAATGGTAGTTTGTGGTTTAAGATGGATCGAATAGTAACACAAAATGAACCTATTCTTAGTAATCAGTCAAGAATACTGAAAAGTAGAACGTAGCACAAATATACATTAGTTCAAGTTGCTACACCACATTAGCACAACAAAATAAAATTTCCAAAACCAACCGCGGAGTAATAGAAGTACTATATGTATTAGTGACAGTAGGAAAGTTTAGGCATAGAAATTATGATTCTACAAGAAAAAATGAATTTGTCGAAAAAAGGAATATTTATTAAACTCTGGGTCTAAGAGGAGGCGATTTGTGCATTCATCTATGCCATAGTAACCGATTCTGTGCCATGTTATCTAATGCCTCCAACTATCGGTTACGATGATTGCGCATATCCCTATCAGGTTGTCTGTGTCTATCAGCATGACTTAGTCTGTCAGTCAATGACTTCATAGACAGGTAAAATGTTTAGCTTTAGTCACTCCTTTCTTTCTTCTAATCAACATCAGCAAGTATCACTTGTTGAGTAAGGCAGTGATTAGGCATACATAATACATGTCCTAACCACCTAAGTCGATAGAGCTTCACTACCTCATCAATTATTTAGCTAATAGACGATTGTATGTACTTAGAATTTATTAACAGGTGTACACTTTTACTGTTACTAGACTGCATACATTTTACCAGTAACTAGTCTACAATAATTTTTCCTATATTTTCTTTTCTCAAATCATTTAGCATGGCAGTTATTATCACTTTGTTCCGAATTCATTTGGAGTAGAATTCCCTAATCAAAGTAAAAAGAATTTCTATCGTGGCTACAAACCAGGTAAAAAAAATTATTTTGTGGAAACAGTCGTAAATGTAGTTGAATGAATATAGTTCAGTTTATTGAACTCAAGACTGAATATTACTAATTGCTTCTAAGAATAACGTTTTCTTTTTATCATCGAGTTCACAGGGATAATGCCGTATGAGATTGCTCCTTGACACTTCAAAATAATATTGATTTTCTAGTCATTTATAGCGTTTTGGAGCAAATATAAATTAAAAAGGAAACTTATTGTGTTGTTGAAGAAGACTAAAGACAATTCAGCGTAGAAAATCTTCTACTCAACAATTTCATTTACCTAAGCTGTACAATCGAATTCGCGGTTGATTTATTTGCTAGAAATAATAGACTATAGTAAAGTAGGATAATGTTGGATAATAATAAAAACTCGAGGTGATAACGTGTCGTATATTAACAATGAAAAACAGATGTTCAAAGAAAGTTACGTAATAATTGGCTCATAAAAAAATGCCAAGGTGAGGATAATTGTTTAGTTGATATATATTAGTATCAGAGTAATTAAACGTTGTATATTTGCTAATTAATAGTTGTGGAAAATAACTGGAAGCGGATGGGGAAAAAGATAGATAAAGTTAGGTGGGAAGAAAAGTTAAGATCATGCTAAAGGAAATTTCTCATTTGAATTGATCTTGAGCTGATTTCCTCAAATGTACGGATCATGTTGAAGGGAGATTCTGATAAAGCAGTGACCAGAATTGATTAGATGTGTGACTGAACTTTGTAATACTTCAGATAGACAGGCACAGTAATTTTCGGAGATACGTATTTTAATCAACTCCACTTTGTTTTACTATGAACCACTACTTTTAGCAAATTAACTAATAAGTACGATCATCAAAAATAAAATGTTCACTGAATTTCCTACTTTATTAAAAATTAGTTTACCATTCTATATAACAGTTCATGGATTGTATTACATAAAGAAATTAATTAATAGCTAGGAGAATTACAATCAAAAAGAGTACACTCAACGTTTGTGAAATGTGCAATTTTTAATACGTAATAATACCCAAAATTTTAACTCATACTACTTACTACTAGTAAGTAATGTGACATTAAAAAAAAACAAATATGATATAAATCACTGTAATACAAATTATAGTTTAAACGAATTTCTGTTTTGATCACGGTGATCAAAAGCATATGCGTTGATAATGTATGATATATTAGGACTTGGTAAGTGGAACATCTTAGTCTGTGTTAGCAATCCACATACATCGAACCGAAATCTCCATAATACTTGCGAAATCATGCATTTGTAGTGTGAACGAATTAGGAAATTACATATGTATTAGGAGACCGATTTTTTAGCGACAAATGAAAACTTAGTAATAATAATAATATTAATAATGAGATGCACACTGCTGAAGAGTTTCATACTAGAACGAAACGGTCGTCCAGTGCCTCCAGGTTTCCAATGGTGGTCTAGCTTAAATCCACTCATGAATTCAACTATTACATTACTACAATTTCCACAAACCCTCTTTTTGATAACAAATGAAAATATTTTCTAACTTGATTTCCTATTGGTAATTTTTATTGATAAAATTAGGTAATGGATTGTTACATGCCTACAATATTGGTGAACAGCAACAATATGTTCCTAATGGGCGTTTATGTTACATTAATGAATGTAATGAGACATCAAATGCACATGTAGCTCCGAGAAATGAATGGGATGCTTCTGAATTCGAATTTCGACCAATTAAAGATAATATCAATTCATATCAGGTATTTACAGTTAAATTTATTTCTTAGAATATTTTAAGATCTAAAATAGGATAACACAATAGATAGATCGGTGATTTATATCGATATAGAATAACCCAATGAAATAATAGGCTTACAGGATTTACAACCTAAGTTATTGTTATTTTTCGAATTACCATACTTTTATTTATTATTACCAAAAATTGTCTATAGATGTCCGTATTTCCAGGGATTATACTGGTTTCGAAATTAGTCTTAATTACGGACTGACATCTGCTGGAGAACCATTGAAAACCTGGGAAACATACATCACCATCATCTGGTTAAATAAAGTTGATTAACGTTACTCCTTGAAAATTATTGATAAGTTTGGCGAATACTAAGACTATTTGTTTAGATAATATGTAACAGTCTATTTTGGACCGTTCATTAACCCATTCGGTGTAATCCTTAACAAGTTAATTATTCTTACTGCTTTTATTACAAGTTAGTAGTTTGAATTATTGTTCAAATGGGTTCTTTGTATGTTCACTACAGGACATTTAGTTCTATCTTATTACGAAATAATGACATTTGACGATAAATGCCCACAACATACTATAGAGATAGACATTATCGACCATTGGATGTTGTACCATCGATTTGAACAACAAATATAGATTTAAAAGTTCTAAGATATGATTACTGAAGAAAACTATTGACTACGACAACACGACCGCTAGTCATTCACTGTTCTTTTTGAGCCAAATTCACTTGGTAATTAGGACTTTCTGCATATTATTCAGTTATTGGAAATTTTTAGCCTAAAATATACGGTCATTTATTTATTTAAACACAGAAACATTGGTACAAGAAGGCACCAAATACATATGCTCCACACAAATCATCCGATACATTCAAGGGCTGGAATACTGCCCAGGCACCCAAAGTGAAACAGGACATGCTCATTTTATTGTATAAAAAGGAATTTTATCTTATCCACCTATGTATGAAGTAGTTAGATACTCTTATTGTTGTTACCGGACAGGTTTTGCTAATCATTCAAAATAAGATCAAGTGAAATTGGTTCAGTTTGTCAGCAGCATTATAATTTACATTTTTAGTTAAGTTGGATGATAGGTAGCAATAAAATCCAGGATGCGCGCTTCATCCTATTTGTGACTTGTCATTTAGATATACCTGCATTCCAGTGTTGACGTTTACACTGAAAAGCATGACGAATTGCTGTCCTTGACATCATCAACAGTGGGAAGGTTCAAACCCTTACATTTAAAATAACAGACTATTCACATTGTAAACATTTGTGGCTATTTGAACTCAATAGTTCAGTAGAAAATGCGTTGGCGTTTGAAATGATAAGTATTAGGTTGGTTTTAGTGTGAACATCAACATTAAGACGCAAGCATCTCGAGCAGACGAATCCAAAATATGACGAAACGCGCGTCCTAAATCCAACTTGCAGCTTCCGTCTAACTTTACTAAGAAAGTACGTGTATCTAGGTGGCAGCATCAATACGATCCACCTAAGATGTATATAGACCAAAAAGAAACCAATCGTTTGCAGTGCTTAAACGTCAACAACTAAAAAGCTCGAACTCTAACATAATATAATTTGTGTTTATTTAAGTTTTCATATTGAATTGATTATTTTATCTATTTTTCCTCGCTACCTACACAACGACAGACTGCTTCTTTCATGGAAAGCGGTAAATCAGATGATTATGTGAGACCTCAAGTTCACTCAATTCGTAGAACGCCTATCCCGGACAATGATCAATATATTGGAAATAGCAGTAGTGTTTGTTATCCACAACTTACATCACATTTAAGTGTATGGAAATCTGATCCATATTTGAGTCAAAGTATGCATGATTTGATTAAAAAGCAGCATAATAAAGGAAGTAACCAAATATGGACTGAAACAAATTTTTACAATAAAATTGGTTCTACATTAGATGGTATAAACCTTATACCGAAGTATTACGACACACAATTAAAACGATCCAAGTCCACCAGGTATACCACTGATAAAGATTTAAACAGTACGAAACTCCAAAGCAAAACCATGCCCTTCAATTCGAATTTTAATAATGGGGAGGATCAAACAAGTAAACAATTAAGAATGATAACAGTGCATCCATCCTTGGACATGAAAGATAAAAACGACACAATTACTACTGGTTGTCACAACAACAGTATTACCACTACTGATAATATTAGTAATAATATTCATTGTACTAAAACTAATCAAATGTCACATTACGCTATTTCATTTCCGACTGTGCAAGCTAGTTTTGTTTAGGTTATTTGGAGAGAAATACACATTAAAATAATTCGATAAAACAATTTTCTATATATTTACATAGTATATGCACCCAATTTGTTTATTGTAAATATACAATACCTACATTATAAGCTCCGATTGTCTCTTCATTCCAATCTTTATTTTCTTCCATCATGTTCACTTTATTCTAATATAACAGAAAATTTGGTTTGATTATGTCACTCGGCAGTTGCTCATTGTCGAAGCTAATTTTTTAATAATTTAAACGTTTCTGAGTCTCCTCTACTTGCTATTATTGCAAACGTTTTATTAATACACAGCCGATATATATATTCTAATGCTGTGGTAGCGATGGTTTACAATATCAGGGAAAAACATACACCATTTGAATTCAATAATGAAAAATAGCTTGGGTTTTCTGACATCAGTAGGTAGCATTCATTAGTAATATCATTTTCAAATCTTGAGGCATTGATAGTCCAGATAGTGAAGCCATTTTATGGTAAGAACCTCATTGGGTTATTTTTAACGTCAATTTACAAGCATTCTTCGTACTAGTTAAATAGGAACATATGTCATTCTATTGTTCTTTTGTCTTACCTAGGCAATCGGGATTTTATCTTTAGCAAGTAATATTTCTAGACCAAACTTCTCTGGTGATATAAATACTGACTCTAAATTCATCGACAAAATAATTAGCTAGAGAATCTATGTTCAACTGAACAAAACTGGTCCCGTAAAAAAGACGCTCGGACAGGTATTCGTTCGCTGTCATACCTTATGTTATGCAGTAATACACTCCAGATATGATCGATTTGAAGGTTTTACATAATATTGGATGTGTACTGATAGGTTTCTTTTTATAATATTTCATACTCACTGAAGATAAACGGGACATACTAAAAAAAGAAACTTCACTTATTCTCAGAAAGTGTTCTTTGAAACTCCAAACTAGTTGCGGTGTAATCAAACGTTCGGCTATATCAATAAGAAAATATAAATAAGAATTTTATTTAGTTCAGAAACTATACGTTTCTCCCTTTTCTGGCCATGATCATATATGTTTTAAGACACTAATTACATCAAACGAAAATTTTCAAATTGATTTATGTATTATGTACGGTACTGATATCTAAAGATCCAATATATTTACTCCCCAGGTAGGCAAGAGAGAACCATTCAATTTTACTAATTTCAAGTTTATTCACTACTTCAGTGGTTGATAGAATTGTTTTTATCACCCTTCGTAATCGTTCTGAATACCGTAAATGGATATCATAGCAACTGTGTAGGACAATGTTCCATGAATGTCACTTACAAAGCGTTTAGTTTCTAAGATTTTATGTGTGAAAGTCAATTTTCCTCACTTAATAACCTTTAAGATTCAATATGAAAAAGGTAGATTGAAATCACAAATATTAAGAAAACTTAGGTTTGTAAAGCAGACTGATTTAAATTTATGGAGACAATGCCAGTATCATCCTGCACGAAACGTCGCATATGTGAAGCACAGTCGAAGATTTCGATACATATCAAACACAAATAGTTACGAACTATGGGTAACTACAGAAGAATCATAATAAGGTTCGAAAAAATGCAAAGATACAATATGTGAAGGAATACTGAGACCGAAGATAAAGAGTGCATGTGCGTCATTGTGACCGGATTTGAAATGCCACCCAACGTTTCCGATTACTTATCGTGCGAACCCCAACCAGATAGTATGGGTCTACAAACGTGGCTCAGACTGAGTCAGTAGCTTTATGTACTGATGTCACGTTTTAGTTTGTCCTCTCCTAGCTTCCAACGTACTTCTACGGTAGCTAACATCCCTCATTGAAGTAGGTTGTGTTTATCCATACGTAACACGTGTCTTAACCGTCCCAATTAATGAATATTGATAAACTCATAGACCTTCTTGGTGTATTTGGCTAGTAATCTATGTCTAACCTCAACATTGTTCACTTGGTCGTCCCACGATACGCGGATCAATGCTTTGAAGACACATATAACCAAAAATATTGCAGCGTACACGTGTCTTCTACTCTCATAGACAGACCATGTTCCAAAACTATAGAGTAATACAGAGAAAACCGCTGCTAAGCATAATCGTCTTTTGGTTGGCAAATGGGCGCCTAACTCCACAAGTGACAGAATTTAGCGAAAGCCAAGCGAGCTTTTCAGACTTATGCCGAGATCTCGTTCGACACCAAGCTATCGAAACTAATGAGACTTCCGAGATAGATTAAGTGTTCAACGCGTTCAACTAATTCACTACCTATAATTAATTTCAAATTAAGTAATGGGTACTCGGTAAATTTTCAAACAACAAATTTTAGAAAACAATTGTTTTAGAGTTCTCGAATAAGTTCCGACACTTCATAATAAAGATTTATCTTATAGATACGACTCGAATGTCTGCAAATTGGTTAAAATTAACTATATCAGAACCAAATAATTGAAATATATATCGTAAACAAGAGAAGCATAATGGTACATTATTTATTGGAAAAGAACAGAATAAATCGAGATTCCACTCTATTTTTGTATGAATTTATTTCGGACTATTTGTGTTATAGTTTATATGATACTGTTTAAACTGTTACGTAATGACTTTAAGGAAAATTGTCAGAATGAAGTATATAATGAAGATAAATGATAAATAATCTTTTGGTATAAATGTTTACATTATCAGCTGTAAGACAAGAGATTTTAGACGAAATGCTAAAATTACGCAAAATAAAACTTAACAAGATAAAGAAATATGATGACGAAAATATTAACTGGGAGAAGAAAAATATATTATCCTTTATTTTGTGTCGAAGACACGGCTCACTTTTGATCCATTTATTTATTTACTCTCCATCTAGATCAGGGCAAACGCTTAAAATTTTACACAATATATCTTTGATCAATCTGATACCGGGGAAAAATAGCGAAGAGCGTTTCAAATCCATAAGCGCAAATTTCAATTTTCGCAATTCTATGCAAAATAAAGTAAAAGATTAGTTGTTTTGAAAGCAGAAAGGATAACTAATGAGTAATAATCTTACATTTGCGTAAAGAACATTTACAATAAAGTGAGAAGACAGGAAAGATGATTCTCTGTAAATACAAAACGAACTGACAATGTAATTTGTCCTATTTCACTTTTCCTAGTAGAAATGCTTGTAGCAAGAATAGATTAATGTAGAACCTAGCTAAAATGGTGTACTGCTTTAAGTTATGACACTTTACAACTTATCTACCAGTTACAGATTCGTTTACTAGACTTTAACCCACACTCTAAGTGTGAGGGCAAGCGATACTGTCTGATCATTACTAAAGTAGGTAGAGCGGGATAAGAATCTGAAATTTAGTGGATGAACGTGGGACGCATCGACCACTGGGCTGTCGCTTCGCAGCAGTATACAAAAAGATGAAACTGACAGAAAACATAGTAATAGTAAAATATACATTTAGCGAAGTCATAACAGGTGAAAGGAATCTGCTTTTGAACGAAAATATCCTAACAGCTCTATGTAATTGAATGCTTAGACTGCCACTGACACATTTCTGATGAAAGATCAAGATTTAAGTGATGAAAATAGTCCTAGAGAATAAGAAAAACTTAGCATATGTAGAATGATTTGCAGTAAGAAAAATAGATGCAAGTTATAGGTGCCATTATAGCAAGCGCTCCGAGGTTTTTATTACCTAGCTGCCATAGTTTAGACAAGTAACCACTATGTAAAAGTATGTGTGAGTCTGATTGACCGCATATTTGCACCTCATTCTTTATCTATCCTCTCATTGGTTGTTTACATAGGCGATCAATAACTTAGCTCCAAAATCGATTTATATATATATATATATATATATATATATATATATATATATATATATATATATATATATATATATATGGATTTTTTAACACTCCCACTCGCCCGCTTCCCTGCGTGCTTGCGGGTTTCATTAATTGATTAATTCATTAATACACCGTCCCAAAAACTGGTTTTCTGGCTTTTGAATATTCTCGAGTAAGCTCATTATACTACTAGAAGATTTGGCCTGCTAAAATATTCCGTTAACGGAAATATGAAATATTGTAGTCAAATAGAGAGAAATTAGCCTCAATACCATAAAAAGCAGTTCCACAGAATAAAAGGGCTAGTGTATCATGTTACTGAAAAAGTTGTACGTATTTCTTACAGATCAACCGTATGCTTTATAAGACATGTCAAGTGATAAATCAGGGGTCACTTATTGGCTTGAATACATAGCGAAGAATATGTAAGAAAAATAGAGATTCAAAAAAGAATTTCGATTGGATTCAACAACAAATTGTGGAAATACCTATACATGGATAGTTTACAGTGAAGCGAAAATCTACGATGAACACCTTAGAAAATGAGGTAGCCTCTATAGAAATGAAGTATCACTTTATCATGAGAATAAACAATTACGCGACCAAATACATGGAGGCTAAGCTAAAAAGTTTAGGAAATTTATTATTTCACTGATATTAGAAATACGTGCAAATATCTTATTACTTCCATCTTCATCATAATCATGACTGATACAAATGAATTAAATATTAGGAAACAAAGATAATGAGTAGCTAATGAATGCGAAAAAAAACTGTTAGTATTGAGCAATTAAGCCTCATTGTTAGATGATATTGAAAATTTAGTTATTCAACCCATAATACATTTGAAACATGTAAACCTTTAATCATAGTTCAACTTCAGCTACCATCCAAACATTCGACTTGTCTAGGTACGATCGACTAAAAAGATCGTATTGATGACCAAATTCAATGTTAAATATAGATTTATTTGTTTGCGTCTTCGATGAAAATACCTACAATTTTATCTCAGGATCACTAGATTTTCAGATACATCAAAAGTCCTAGAAAACGACTAAGATAGTGGCAAGCGATTATTTATTAGAAATATGTTCGATACATGTCAAATTCGAAAAAAATATGTTTAAAAAATTCCACACCTTATTTAACATTAAACTATGACCAATGGTCTGTTTTATCAGACTAACTATAAGCATGAGACCAGAATAAAATAGTTAAGGTGGTTGATGAGCTATAAACATTGGCTAAAGGTTGACTGCTTATTCATTTATTTGAACACATAAATATTAGTACAAAGGGGCATTAGATACATATACGCCATATAAATAATTCATTTTGTGTGAGAGCTAGGGTACTGTACGGGTGCCCAGACCGAAGCGAATGGTTTTCTTAGGGAGCCACACCCCGAGCCTTCGATTTAAAGGTCTGATCCACAAGGCAGTGGAGCATCGTCAGAAGATGCAGTCCCATGGTAGCCGGTCACCAACGATTGATTTATACGCCGTTTTTCCTTCAGGATACTGGAGCCCATGTGCGCCAATGGTTTGTAATCAGGGTCTTCCAACTACCCTAGATGGACCCTCCGTGTCCACCAACCTGGTTAAAGCGTCAGATATTCGCTTTTCGTCCCTTCAATTTCGTAAACAACACCCCCTCCGCAAGAAGAGAGTAAGTAGAACTACCCGGGCATTGGCTGTATAAGCGTGGGCATGTGAGAGCATTTGGAGAGGGAGAGCTGAATCTTCCCACCCTCGGCCGTACCAGGGCATTCGGGGGCCAGATAAAAAATGTACATGAACAGTCTGCTTACATCACTCACTTAATCACTGCTCTACTGCCAAGATATATATATATATATATATATATATATATATATATATATATATATATACATATATATATATATATATATATATATATAGTTAGTTAGTTATTTTGTAGCATTTTCAATACGTTGTACAACGCAAAGAATAATAAGGTATCAAAAAAATAGTAATAATAATAATGGAATTATATAAAGGAAATTAAAATAAAGTTAATTTACCATTGGTTAACTCTTTCATTTTATCACTGACATATTTGTAGTCTGATTTTAATTCATTGTAAGCTAGTGCTTTGTCATGTAATTCAGCTGTTAGTATAGATATATCTGCAATGGTGAACAAAAGCTATGCACCTTTGATTTGTTTAAAACTTTTTCAGGAAATAACACATTTATACCATGAAATGGAAATGAAGTTACGGTGAGCAAATAAACAAACTATAGTTTCCTGGAAGAAAAACTGAGTGATTCAAGTTCGAATCTTTGAGGAAGCATAATCTACTTGAATATTGCTGGGGTAGTTTGGACATGAATGTAAACAAATATGAAAATTAAGTATTACACTCCTAGCAAATTGTTTTCAAACACAACGCTATTAATAGACATGAACAAACTGATATAAGTTTGGTTGTGATTTTCTTTCGTATAAACCTTATAAAGGCTGATTATTTTGTATTAAATTCTCTTTCATTTGTTATTGTTCGCATATCATTCCTTATATCTCTTCTTTCTACTCAGTTTTGGAAGTAATGAAAACTAACCTGGCGAGCGGCTCATTAACCATGTAGTTGCATGAATAAAAATGAATAAACTAACTAAAACAAATTGTAAATGCTGAGTAGGAGTTTTCTAAAGTGTAACTAACTTTGTTGGTCCGTAACCAGATATTCGAATCGTGGACTTAAAATGATCTAGCTAGTATGCTCAGTATGTGCATAGTTTAATTATGATGACTGATTCATGTTAGAACGATTGGCGTTGATGAATCAATTCAGAAGGGGTTATAAGTTTTTATATAATTTTTATTATAAACTTCTGTATTTCTTTCGTTACCTACAGAGTTGATTTGAACATACTTCATGAGCTGAAGATCATTATACAGAGAATACAATACCAGTGTACATAAACAAATCAGCAAGTGAAGTCCTACAAGTTATACACCTAAAGTGCATTGTATAATTTAACAATCATTGCTAAAAATGTAATCATCGAATAAATTTTAAAGTTGAACTATGAAATAAACTACTTATATTTATTTTATTTATTTAAACACGTAAATATTGGTACAAGGGGGCACCAAATATATATGCGCCACACCCAAATATAAATATAAATTTGATAGTTGTACATTTATGCAGTTAAGGACAAATGAAGTGATTTGGATGATTTAGCTCTATGAAACAAATAAATCTGTGTATATAAGTGATAAGATTGGTCTTAAATAAGTAAGGGAATTGTTCAATGTTTAGATTACATCAATCTGGTTAGTCAGCACAACCATACGTGGTTTTTAACTGTTCATGTACACTTATTATCTAGACATTAATGACACTATTAAGGTTGACAAGTAGATAATATACTGTGGTTCGGATAATATTGAAGGAACCAGAGTAGTATTCGATAATTAAGTCCTACGTTGTTGTTTTATTAGTCAAATTGTGAATTACTAAAATACTTATCATGATTCATACAGCAACAGCTTGAAGAATGAAGAAAGTCCCTTTCTAGAAATTTACAACTATTTATCCATTACACCTGTGATAATAAACTAACAGTTATTTATACCTTATTTTTAGAGTTCGACATTACCTGCTCTGCAGTTTTAGCAGTAATCGATTCAAGTGAAGTCAATCTTCAATGGACGTTAGTTTTTAAATAATTAGTTTCCCATAACTAACTTGAACTAATTATTACTGTATGCATACAATCCATGGAATATGATAAAATTCTTGGATGTATAAAGTAACTAGATGATCTCTATTCTCTTACTAGCATTTGTCATCATCAGAAAACACCAGGTTCAGTTTACGCAGATACAAAAAAATTGATATTTCCCTTTTAGTAACAGACAAACACAGTAGAAATGATAAAAGAACAAAACTTTTTACCTGAATGCAATTGATGTGTTACATTTTTAAGGTGTTTATGTTTAATCTCCAGGTGTCGATATGATGTATCTTTTTGTAAAATTTCAGTCGATAAGAAAGAGATATCTAGAAAATGGGGCACAAAATAAAATTTAAAAGTGATAGAAAACAGAAAGGCAGTAATAATAATAATAATCTCTTTTGAAGGTCGACAATATGTACCGGTAAAATTACTCGTCTTTAAATTAAGGCACATCTGCTTACTAATTCAAGTTCACTTGTGTAGATACTTAATAAGATGAGATTATATGTTTATGTAGGGAAGCACGGGATACAGTGGACATCTAGGATGCAACTGGATGATCTAGACTTCGCAGATGATCTGGCTCTTCTATCGCACACGCAACAACAAATGCAAGAGACGACCAGTGTAGCAGCAGCCTCAGCAACAATAGGTCTCAATATACACAAACGGAAAATCAAGATTCTCCGATACAACACAGCATGCACCAACCCAATCACAATTGACGGAGAAGATTTGGAAGATGTACAAACCTTTACATATTTGGGCAGCATCATCGATGAACACGGTGGATCTGATGCAGATGTGAGGGCACGGATCGGCAAAGCAAGAGCAGTATATTTACAACTGAAGAACATCTGGAACTCAAAACAATTGTCAACCAACACCAAAGTCAGAATTTTCAATACAAATGTGAAGACAGTTCTACTGTATGGGGCGGAAACCTGGAAAACCACGGAAGCCATTATCCAGAAGATACAGGTGTTTATTGACAGTTGTCTACGCGAAATACTTCGAATCCGTTGGCCGGACACTATTAGCAACAACCTACTGTGGGAGAGAACAAATCAGATCCCAGTGGAGGAAGAAATCAGGAAGAAGCGCTGGAAGTGGATAGGACACACATTGAGGAAAGCACCGTACTGAGTCACAAGACAAGCCCTCACATGGAATCCTCAAGTGCGAAGGAGGATAGGAAGACCAAAGAACACATTACGCCGAGAAATGGAGATAGACATGAGAAGAATGAACAAGAATTGGATGGAACTAGAAAAGAATGTCCAGGACAGACTGGGTTGGAGAATGCTGGTCGGCGGCCTATGCTCCATTGGGAGTAACAGGCGTAAGTAAGTAAGTAATACGTTTATGTAATCGATTCTTTCCAGAAGGATATACATAGCTTGCATCAAGTAATATATAGTCGAATACAATCATGATTTGTTTGATTTAGATATATTTTGGACGGAATTATTAGTCTTTTTAAAATAAATAAATTTACTTTATCTTTTAAAAACTCGGACTGGTATATATATATATATATGAGAACATTTGATAGTAGAACAGAACTCGAAATCATTCAAGATAAGTTATAAAATAGTAGGTTCTGAACATACCTAATAAAAGTATAAAATCTTGTAAGAAAAAAGTCAGATAGTTATCTATGTGTGCATACCTTCATTTTGGGTGGACTTGGCATTCTAGAACATCATGATTATTAGTTTAAGCTAAATGACTGCTACCATTCATAAACAGGATGCTAGATAGAAGATATCATATAATTCTCAAATATATATTCTAAATAAAAATGTTACAAGAATATAGAATGAGTGGCTGAAGGAAGCTTACGTTTCAATACGATCAAATGCTAAGTGTTAAAATTTTCAAAGCACTGCCCATCTAACGTTGGACAACCGACTAAGTGACGTTGAAGTTAAAAATAAGGTACCAGGGAAAGATGGCATATCTGTTGGTGAGGTTGTTAATTTCCATCAACTGAGGTGTTACGTGTGAGATATTAGCTGCTGTGGAAGTAGGTTGGAAGAAAGTTTGAAGCGGCCAAACCAAAACGTGGCATCAGTTCGTGAGGCCGATGACGGTTTACCTGAGCCATGTTGGTAGATGCAGACTACGTGAATGCGGTCTGCACGACAATTGTGATCAATAGTTGCATAGTTTGGATGAGAATCATTCATAATGATGCAGATGCATACACTCTATCTTAAATTCCAGTGTTCTTTCAAGTATCCCTTTACACCATTTTTTAGGATCATATTCTCAATGTTTGTTCTTTCGCATAATCGTTTCTACCTTATTGTTTTAATTTCTCTACTTTTATCTTGTTAATTTGATCTTTTCGTACTGTGGAATGTTAAAGTCAGTCAAAACACATTTATGCCGCGATCTACATTGGCCATGACCGACTGTTTAACTTCTGAAGCCCAGAAGGAAATCGGTGATTAAAGTACCTTTGTTTTTAAAAACGGTTCCTAACCTAACTTTGGCATTGATTATCCAGTAATTTAGTCGCATACAAGCAATGCATTGAAGATATTTATAATCAAATTCCTACAACTTATATATATATATATATATATATATATATATATATATATATCCCTTATTTTTAAAGATAATACTTTGAATCTGTACGATAAAACACAACGAATATTTGCTGTGTAATAGACTGTTTACTGAATTAGAAGCGTCTTTTAATTAAGATAAAATATAAAAAAACTAATGGGAAATGTAACAAAACAAATGAAACTTATATTAACTTACTTGTTAACAATTTGTCACGTTCAATTTCACAACCAGCAATTCTATCTGAAAGAAAACGGCAATATCACGGGGGGAACGATTATATCTTTGGCCGTTAAATGAGATAAATTAAATGTGTTGAAATGATACAAGCGCTAGGCTACACAACATACAAATCATGAAACAAAAGTGCATTGGTTAAGATTGACAGACTTCGAAATAAAGAAAAATCGATAAAAATAGAAAGATATTAATACGACTGAAAAGAGTACGAGTGAAAAAATGAAATAAATTCACAAAGAGCAAGATTAAAATAGACAATTGATATATCTATACAGTTATGATTAACTTTGAACTATTACCAAGTTTGTATAATAAGCGAATAAATGTAAACTATACTACTCATTAATAACCAAACTAGAAGGCTATAATTATTATCCTTTTTATTATTTTTATGGCAACTGTGTTATTGGAATATTTTGACAAATATTAACTGAATGAACTGGTCAAATAAGACATTGAAAGGTTAGCACAGCCTGTTGATTTTGCATGAAAGTATTTCAAAACATGTATGGTGTATTATTACTATCGTGATATGAACTGATCACTGAGCCGTTGAATAAATGGCAGAAAACATTATTGATTTAAAGAAATAGATTGGTAGTAGTAATGTGGTGAGCGCTACTTATATTGATATAAGTAGTATATGACGCGAGCTAGAAACGTAATGTCTGGCAGCAGAAGATGGGGGAAGATCAAGAAAGGAAGGGCGGGAACACAGTGAAATTTGTATGAAAACTCATGAACAATGAAATGTCAGATAATGGATTGATGTTTGCAACAGGAACAGTCCAGTTTGATATGATGGATTGATGTTTTGCAAATTAACGATTTACTATATGGTTTTTCTATTTTACCAATTAACTCTGTAATTTTGAACAATACAATTCGGTTGTCCTCACCTGTATTCTCCCTCACTACATTTGGAGTCGCTACCAACCAGGAGAGAGGGGTGCTGTTCTGTGGACGCCGTTACGGGCCTGGAGCTGAGGTGCAGGTTGGGGCAGTCTGGTGGAGTGTTCAGGCGAGGCGGCGTTGGCTGTGGCGGGTGCTGTCGACGGAGAGGAGCGGTGGGACGTGCGTCTGCTGGGCGGACATCGTATGTGGGTGGCTCAGCAGGCCGGCGGAGCATGGGTGTCGAGCGTCCCAGGTGCCGGGTGGAGGTCGGATGTTGGTGCCTCGGTAGGTTCACGAAGCTATAGAGGTCAGCGCGCCGCAGACTCGAAATTTTGACGGAGGGTGTAGCACAGACTGCGGGAAAGAAGAATGTTGTACGGCGTGTTCTTGTTCACTACAGTAATAGTATTCTTCAGAAATACTGTAATATGTGATTAATTGTTATCAGTTCAGTACTGCTAAACATAAGACTACCATTATTATAACCGTTATTTTATTATTTCTATATAATTATCCAAAAACTAAGGTTATTAGAGCCAAGTCAGTGAAATAGGTGTTTTAGTACTGATGATCGTGGACAGTGTGTTAAGCCAACTACTTATTTACTTCCAGCTAATCTAAATGAATAAATTTAGTCTTGGTTTATTTTATTTCATTAAAAACAGTTGATTAAACTCACTACTATTGAAAGTAGTACCACTAGATAATTTACTGATAAATTAACAACTCAATACGAAAATAGTGTAATTCATAGTGTTAAAAGTGAAGACCAATTAGAAACTTATAGTCGTTTAGATTTAGAATAACTTAATTGTTATTTTATATGAATTTAATAAGTCTTTATATTGGAATATAACAGCAAGACAAGAATATGTAAACTTATGAATTTGTCCATTTGGTTATGTTTTACTCTCCTTGTGTAATTGACAGATAACTATTGTAATATTTTTTTTCTTAATGTATAGTAATAAAATGTAAAAGGGTAATTATTTAATCGTTTGGTACACTACTACTACTGTGTCCGTATGAAGTATATATATAATCATTTCTAAACAATTTAAGAGTAAAATAAGTAAAGAAAATGCAAAAGCTGGTAGAAAACGTCATACACAAAGAAAAGTAAATAGAATTTTTGCTTACTTTTATAAGATTGTTCAGAATACAGCATGTGACCTGAAAAAAATTATATATATATATATATATATATATATATATATATATATATATATATATATATATATATATATATATGATATTTGCGAAAAAGAAACAAAAGACTTTATTAGTGAGGAATTTAATCGGTTATCAGTCAAACTAAAACTGTATATTACATAATTATACTCCAATATACGACTAGTGGTAATCAACTTATATTTTAATTTGAATTCATTACAATAAAAATAATATTGCTGTTTATTTTTTGTTAGAAAGAAAAATAGTGAACTGCATTATACCGATAAGAAGGTTGGATGAATGTAGTTTGAAGTTCTAGATCAATTTATCTCTGTATGCATGAATGGCATCAATAAAATAGCTTTTTACAAGAATACTTAAATGTCAGGGGTTATTGTCTTGTTCAAAGTCTGACGAAATGATAGACAGACGAAGATCAACTGAATCGTCTATTGATATCCTATTGTTGATTGGTCTAGTTTCATCAGTTACCTTTTGAAAAAAATATTGCCGTCAACAAAACATTTACCTTAGAAAATGTACATAATGGTCGAGTATCACCTATTCAAAAACTGTATTTTTAGTTTTTTTATTAACCTGTGCACTGTTGACTCTAGTAATCAAGGAATTTTTGAATCGATCTGCTTTTCCGACTTTTTTACTCATCGCAGTCAGCACCAGTGAGTAAACCGATTTACATAAAATTGTCATTGCAATGGAATAATGTTTTTTATAATCATAGATTGTTAGGCTAGTTGATACTATTTGTGAAATTTATCTATCTTGTAGATATTAAATCTGAAGTTAAAAAACATAATTCAATGTAAGTCGAATTGGTTGAATTGGTAAGTCATTTTTACATCATAGAATAACTACGAAAGACGAAAACAGTAAGTTGATATATTTACAGACGATTACAACGAATTAACGTCTAATCGGAGAAAAAGACAACCAAACACTGTTTTAATAATAATGGCGTATTAAAACTATCCAACAAGTCGGAAAATAAAAACAGTAATCTGTGGGTTGACCATATTTACTGATGTTAACTTCCATTGTTTTAGCTGATAATAAAATTGAGAGATGAAAGTCATAGCCACTTTAATTATTTTCGTATACATACAGATGTACGTACAAAAAGCACTGGATAAAAAAAACAGTTCGTTTCAACCACATAAATGACTTACCTAAAAGCAAACTGAAAATTATGCCTCCCAAAAGAAAATCATGGACTAAAAGGCAGGAAAAGGTAGGAAAATGTTAGGTGTAGTAATTTCACCAAATGAAAGACATCAATGAAAATTTTAAAACATTAAATAAAATAAAAATCTCATAATTATATATATATATATATATATATGCGTTGAAAAGCCAAGAAGGAATTTCAGGTGAAAATAACTACAGACCTAACAGTCAAATGATACCAACGACACGAAAAGCATAGTGTATAATCAAATGCATAAATTTGTGCCATAGGACCGTAAGTTTTATGTTTTCTTTAGAGTTAGGGTAGGCGAAACATTTAGTATCCAAAGATAGACTGATTAATATCATACGTCAAACTAAGTACGAGGCACAGAATAGAATAACTTACAATAGATTACATGTTATAAAAGCATTTATGAAACGAAATGGTCGTTGGAGTGTTTGGTTATATTTGTAAGATTCAAACGCCAGCGGATGATATGAAGAAAATCACAAGAATAACGAGATATTTTTCTTTATAAACCAGTTCTTAAAGTTCATGAAATATGGTAAAAAAATACTAGTCAATTTTGTTTGCAAAACTGAATTTACTTGATAGTAGCTAAGTTTACTTGAGAGATGAGAAATTAATATCAGGAATAACTTTCCAACTAGTATGAAAAAGCTGCTCAGCGTTACATAGTTTGCAGTGGTTATTTTCAGTTCAAAATGAAAAATATCTTCAAACTATATTGGTCGCCACAAAGTACTGAAGGTAAACTAAGTAGGTAAAATAACCGTCACACTTTTCTATTTGTAAATTTTCACTGTTGTTATTCCAAGAATAGTCAAACAGTTACTTACAGTAAAAATGTATCCGATCAGAGGAATTTATTTCAGAGTACGTTGACGATTGGATACATGATTGTTCACATAAAATAGTTGGCTCTTTCTCATCAGGTATGCTTAGGCAATGTAACTGATCCAAGTTACGAGATGGAGGGGGTTGTGTAATGGCACTGCAAATTGATTTCAAAGTAAAGGCGACATTAAAGGTTTTATAGTATTTGCTTATGACATTTCATTCTACCTAATTAAATAATGGGCATCAGCCACATAAAACATGAATTAATTATTAAATGTAAGCAACATTATGAGTATTTTGGTTTTTACAAAAAATCATTTTCAACTTAAAATTTGGTTAATTACACCCAATCAACGATACTTATAAACACAACAATTTATATAATGTTCGAACCAGTTTAAGTAAAAATATGGATACAATACTAAACTTAATTCAGTTAAGGAAAAGTGCAGAATACCCACACAATTACTGAGGCCACTATACATTTTAATATCATTCACAAAAAGAAAGATATGGTTTTTGAATGAGACAATAAGAGTATTTTAAGAAACATTTCTAATAGTCTATAGTCCAAAAAATGATTCGTTTCAGTTATTAAATGTCTTGCTACTTCTCGGCAAATTCCAGCCTGATCATCCTGACCTCTTAACCATCCGAAGTTACTTTCGATTACACTATCTTTAAAATAACTCTTAAAAAGAAGGGAAATTATGACTTAGTTATCAAATAACGAGGTTGTTTCATCCAAACCACCAATTTGTATTCTTCTTGTGGGATTTGTAACCTAAAGTTTTACAGAATATACTCTGCAAACAAATCAAATAAATAGTTAGGTTATTTAACACTTATGATTTGGCAGGTTTTATCACTGCTTATTTTAGTAGCTCTGTCATTTACATGGTCTAGACTGAATAGAAGCCACCTATTTGCTATTGAGCGTAAAGTATCCAAGATTTATGAACAATTTCAACACTTAACAAAGAGTGATTATAGTTCATACTCTCATAAGCTGTCTTCAAAGTGGCCCAAGTATTTCTGTTTTTCACTACAAGATTCGTGATTCGAATTAACCCTATCCATTTAAACAGATAAAGTAGATTGTAGGTTATTAATGGATTTCTTCCACAAATCGAAGCCTACATGTTCAATGAGTACATAGAATCGACACCTCAAGCACAAGCACGCTAACCATAATACTATTTGTAAACGGTGAGGAAATGTGACTTACGCATGGTTTTGGTCGCAGTCCAATTTGACGAAATCGAACGTCGATGTGGATAGAGAATTCTCTGACTTGTCAGACTCCGAAACCTCAGTGTAAGAAGGTGATTCATCAGAAACAGCTTGCTCAGAAACCCAGTAGACACTTTCGACAAGACTATCATTCTCTAAAATATAACAAAGGATGCACATATTTCTAGTGAGAATTTACTGGTGAATTAATACTTTCATGTTTACGCAATAGGGATTCCACCAGTAAACAATGATTAATAGTATAAAGATTTACTGTCAGACTGGTACTTAAATGGAAAATTAGTAACTAGTGGTGGGCACCAAGCCATGGCCCCTCTACTGTTTAAGGAGGGATAAAGTGTCCATCCTCCACAAACCATGTGCAGGTCTTAAGCTTATCTAGTTCAACATTAATTCTCTTTATTTTATTATAGATACCTTACCAACTCCTCACTAGCTTCATTCGGATATTAGACTTGTTAACAAATTGTGATTACGTAATACCAAACGTGATGTCATGACACAGTAGTTCAATCTACTTGTCGGAAACCTTAGTGCTAGAACTATGGGATAACAGACATTACTAATCAGTAAATTTAAAGTTCGACTGAATAAATTTGTCTTTCTGAAGTCCATACGTAGAACTCGTGTCATTACTTGACTTTACTTCACCAATATGTGGAAGCATGCCACTGTATCTGTTAGGTATCTAGAGATCCAACAGCGAATTTTTGTAGTTTCACGCATGAAAGTATAGGATTAAGTTAAAATCAGTACAAGCATCTGTAAGATGAATAATATTCAATAGTTGCCTGCACACTATCTAAATTGACGAAACTGTAAGAACTCAGAAAGATTGATATTACGAGTTGTTGCTTGTCTGTCAATTACTATCCCCCTGACTGTGAATATAATCTATGAAGAACTACCAAAAGATGTCAAACCTTTTCCCACAGTTAGGAGGAGGATTCGATAAGCGAAGAAACAGATCAAGTCATAGGAAAACTTATAAAAGTATTTTTACGTTCTAGGAACCACTGAGAAGTGAAACTTACTTACCAAGTACAGATGTCTGTATTTGGGACATAAATTAGTTATCGAACAAAAATACAACCTGCTTGCCGAAAATCGTGTTAGTTCATGTGGGGTTTAAACTTACAACTTAATGGTTCTAAGCCGAGTACCTTGATAACTAGGCTATAGCTTTACATTTCAAAAACAATGTTTCAATAGTCATTCATTTGTAGCAAGTACCAACTATGAGGATGAAGACAGCAACTTGATCTGGTAACATCGGAAATCAGCACAACAGACGTTAACAAGGTCCATCTATATCAGCCGTTTTTTGGGAAGAAAAATAATACACAAGTATCGTCCCTTGATCGAGCGATCATACTGTTGTGAACACATTTGTCATGAATCGGTGAAGTGCCGGGACTTATATTGTTAGCATTTTACTAATAGGAGAAAATCGTCGACATTACGTAACCTTTTTCTGACAAGTTGAATTTCATGTTGGAAAGAGACCATAGTTTTGAAAAATGTTTAAGCGATTTAAAAGACCATATGAACTTCTTCAACGATTTTAAATGATGCTAAGCTGTTGGGCTGCATTACCGTCTAACAAATAACTATCCAGAAAATGTTGACTTGGACAGGGGATAAAATGAGAAAAGGCCGGTAAAAGAATCTGCAATAGAAACATAGGGACTCAAACTTCCATGCACCAAAAGGTGATAAGAAAGTATACGAACCATGAACTTCTGTGTGTTGATCACTGCTTGAACATACCTAAGTTAAGAGTTTCATCCTGAAATAAAATAATTAAAACGATGAGATACATTACATCAACATGAAGAACTTCGAAAGACCTCTGCCTCTCCATCGGGATTACGAATAATATAGTATTATCAACATGAACCTGTTAACCTTGAGAGTTCCAAATTCAGCGGGTTTCGTAAAAATGTTGGTGCAACAAATTAATTTCTTCAAATATTCGGTAAACAATTGTTAATTCCACAATCTTAAATTATATTGACGTTAAATGAAATGGTCTTGCAAGATCAGGTTCTTTTGACATATATGGTTGTTCAAGAACAGTTTTGATTCAGAAAACATTTTTAATTGTTATGTCGACTAACTATTTGTTTCGCTACATGTAGTCAAAAAATATATAAAACAAATAATAAGAAACTTGCTGTGGTTTATTAAGTCTTTGAAGTTAGTTTGACAGTGGAAGATAAATCAAACAAAGGAAATGATCGGGAGCCAGTGTAGTGCCAGTGAAATTTCGCTGAGCCCTAACCAGATCATCCGGCAGTTGAGTCAGTGAATATCAAACAAATCATCGATCCTCGTCAATGTCAAGGACAACCAATGCGCATCAGTTAATCGTAAGCCATGGACTGGCCCATGCGGTAGTGGTCTTACTTTCGCTTGTATCTACCCTAACTAATATATTTCTGTAATAACGCCCTTTGTGTTGTACAGTCTTCAAAGCATCTATAATACCTTGATACGTCAATGGGGTAATCCACGTAAGGCGCTGACCGCGGGGTGTGACTTCGACGCTATCTGGTTCGTCACACTATCCTCCAACCGTTCGACATAGACCATATACGTTGGTGATCTACACTGGTGAGCCCGACGTGATCAGTAGCGGTCAATAAATCCCCAAAATAAGTAGCTCTGTAAGTTTTCGGCATTGGATGCTGACCACATTGGTTTTAATGGACTCATCTAGCTGAAGGCACTCGGTCATGCATCCGCACGGGATCACATGTGGGAACGCCGTGCTCAACATCTACTGCAATCGCTAGCCAGATTAGCTCACACGATCCCCGATATATTGATAGCCTATCAAATATATCTTTGAACCTTCTTGCTTCTGTCTTTTGATTCCACTTTGCTGGGTACGCTTCATATTAGGTGTTACTGGTTAAAGAGTTGTCAAACTCCGAATACCTGTGGCATCTTCACCAGTATATACATTATCAAGTTGTCAGTTGTGTTCGTCAGTTGTTCACACAGGACAAAACAGCTTGCTAGTGAACACTTAAGAATGTAACCATTCCAGAAGTTGCTACTCAAAGGAACTCTGCTCGCTATGTGGTTTTTCGAGCACGTGATAAGCAAAATACAATAATACAGTTCCAAAGAAACGTTATACTTTTAAGCGTGTAACTTCTGCAGACTCTAAAAACCTCATATTCGATCAGAAAATCTTTCCTAATAGTAATTTCTATGAAGCTTTTTTCTTTCAGAATGTTGAGCACTTTTATTCTGCAGAAGAAATATGTTTGCTCTTCACGCCAGTTTACCAAGTGTTGAGGCAACAATGTAATTAATGGTGGTTTTTAAATGTCTTGACAAGGCCTTCTGCTTGACCGTTGGAACAAGAATGTCCAGGAACAGCCAGGTATTAAGTGAGGAGCATTATCAATTAATAATACCTTGGGACCACTTCCTGACTAGGCATTTGTAGATCAACAACGTAGACGACCTGTGTCGAATTATTAGGAGTCCCTTGGAGTTAGATATGTGATTACATGTAAAGTGTTACGAATAAAGAAAAATGCAGTCTTTGGTTTTTCGCTATGAAAATCATTGATTGTACATGCTGAAGACTGTTGCTCTGGCGTTGTAATAAATTTTCGATCCACTGCCTTATATTTAAGTTCATTTTTGACCAAATAAACCTTTCTGTGATCAGTCACACAGTATCACGGAACCCCGTGTGAGATAATGAGTGAAGACATTCCAAAACGTTTTTCCTGTAAACTATTGGCACCAAAGATCTGCGTATTCCAGTCAAAGTAACACAAATCATAGTAGACTCAGAATGTGGTATTGAAACACCTTTTAACATCGGACTTCAATTTTGTTGACACGAAGGTGGATCAGAATCATCAACCTGTAGACATGCAATGTCTGATGGACTAATTACTTTAGCGAAGCAAATACCGCACACGTTGATCGTGATAATGTCTCTGCCATAACATTCGTTTAACCTTTTATAAACTGTACGTTGGTCAAAAATTGGTAAATGTGATCTAATTTTCTCAATTTTCCGGGGGGAATAACGATTTCATTTGAGCATTAACGGTGTAAGTTAATGGTTTGACTTTCTTCCCGACCGTTGTTGCCACCTTGTCAGGGACGCGGGAGGGGCTGCTATAGGCATAAACAGTAACAGTCGTCACTACAAGTCTCTGGTCAACATGATTTCCGGCAAGGAAAACAACCCAAAATATTTGCAGGACGTAACACGCTTCCTAGCTTTATCACCACAGCATCTATAGTACCGATGGATTTGGCCATTTTTTGTTCTTGTTGTGTGCCAGCTATTACCACTCTGAGGACTAGGTCGGAACCTTTGAAATGTGAGAATGGAAATTAATAATTCTAATGCAACTAGCTTCTTGCCAAGACTAGCAACAGTGCGTGCATGATATGTATGTAGGTCGCTTACTTCGGCAGTTAACGAATTTATGGTCGGAGTTCTCTCCCCAGATTCATATTTGCTGACTAACTCCACCCTACCCTTATTTGTGGTGTTATGCTCGTTTGAGTTTGTAGCATGTATGAATATTATTTTGATCTTAGTTCTGTGCTGCATAACTTGTTGGAGTACATCGTTTCTAAAAGTTCCACATCGTTAAATATAGCTCGGCTTAAATAAGCTATATCAAGCATGTGGAAACTTCCTAATTGAACTTTTAAGTACCCGCCCTTTCGTTTTCCCTCTATTTTTTAGCACTCCCATTGCATACCACCGAAAACACATATATGGAACATCTGACTTCGTCCTGTGTCTTCACTAATACTCCCTTTATTTGTCTGGAAACGCTATCAAGAAACACAAAACTATACGTTAAATCTGACGTTTGTGACCAACTGGTTACGCGTTTACCGCATTATTTCTTACCTCAAACAGCCCTGCATTTTACCAATCACTTGTCGCAACACAATCCCCATAAAGCGCGCCAACTATTATATCGAACATTAGTCTTACTAACAATAATATTCTAATGTATGAAAATGTGTCCCCTATTTCTACGACAAATGTGTCTTAAAACACACCAACCTAACTGAGTAACCTGTAACAGCGAAGTCTGTAGCATTTGTAACAATTCGATCTTGCCTGCAAACTGCCATGTTTCACATAACATATTCTTATTTGAGGATACATTAGTACTTCCATTGGTTGGGGAGAAAACAGTAGTTTCACTGCCGATTTGATGTATCCGATTTTTTAACACTTTAATAACTTAACATTGCGAGGTTCACATGAATTACGAGAATGAAGGTTAACACATGATAAACACCAAACTTATGCTAACCTTTGTTCACTGCTTAGCACTTCCACAATGAATTATTACACATGTATTCACGAAAACGGGGATTATCTTTAATTGGACATGTGTTCTTTTTTTGGCAAAAACCCCCGTGATAGATTCGTCGTGACTTAAAGCTTTGTTAGTTATCACGTGACTTGTTCTTCGATCGAATTATGGCTTATTCAATCATAGTACCGTGGGAAACCAATGACTTTCGACCGGTATGGACTGAACAGTTATTTATATATATAACATGTAATATTAGTACATTTATAATTCTCAGACGTTACCCGTAATTTAATCTTTACTAGGATATAACAGGTCTCCTGTTCCCGTGACCTTGATCGAGCATCGGAGTTGAGAAACTAAGTGGAATTCTTTACATCCTTGAAGTTAGTCATATGCATTGCCTCAACTAATATATAACGTTCTAGCATATTGGAAGTAGCATTTTGGGGTTTGGATGAGATCTTTTTCTACATTTGGTTCCTTAATTTCCACAATTAATCGTTCGCGCAGCTTCGCTTGATGTTAATTACTAATTAAGAGATTATTTGAACCACATAAATAACGCTGGTAAGTTTACGGCTTTTTTGATTTGACATTATTGTTTGCAGAAATATGATTTTTTGAAACTATAGACATGATTCGCCACCATTCTAACATTCTACTGCTACCAGCATCAGAGCTCAAACAACTGTTAACCATGTATACAAAAGACGTTCATTTCCAGTTCAATAATGTCATTTATCGGCAAACTAATGGTGTAGCAATGGAAAGTTCTTCGGCTTCAGTCCTAGCAGATATTTTATGTTTAATCTCAAAAGAATCAAGCTCATAGACGCGCTTTGTAAAATAACGTATCCTTCGAAGTACGTTGATGATACCTTCATTGTATGTAATAATGAACAACATCAAACAAATCTTCTTGAACACTTTAAGGAGGCCCATATAGATATCTAGTTTACTATGGAACATGAAAATGATAACAAGTTCCTTTTTCCCAACATTAAAATAAAACGAAGAAAGAGTGGCACGGTTCAGTGTTTCGTCAATTGGAAAGACGCGTGTAATGGAATTTATCCCGATTCCAATAGCTTTTGTCCACTCAATTACAAAAAAGCAATGGTTAAAACGCTCATTCACAGAACAGAAAGAATATGTACTTCTGGAACTGATGGTAAAAATCTTAAAAATCTGCAATAAACAAAGGAACCTATTTCTATCTAATTTAAATTAAAAGGTGATGTGACAGGGTTGATCAGCATGAGACTAAAATCTGCATCGACATGAACTTATCCTGAAACTGAACACAGTCTTTAACACAATCGAAGATTGATAGATGTCCCTTTCATATTATCGCCAATTGTATATACAAATTCACATGTATCTGTGTGGTGTTTGAATGAACTAAGGACTCCTTTGTACTTGTTGAATGCCTGATTTCGAATTCTAAATACAGTACATTCGTTCGTGCTTATCTAGTAGTTCTTGATCCACTTACGTTATTTCTGGGATTATTAGTTCATACTATAATTCAAATACTTCTAATTATCATATTGACGTCGCGATGGAGCCTGC